CATCACTGGTTTCACAATGATTATAGTAATAATCCAATGTTGCTATCATTGAAATAAGGTTAGCAGGACATTACATGAATCATTTTCCTACCAAGTCATCATATTGTCCATAATACTTGCTCCCACAGTTCTCTACTAAAATTGTTGTGGCCATAATACTCTGGGAGAAGTGTGAGCAAGCAATATTCTATAAGTGGTCTCACCACAAAACACAACAGTAGGTAGAAAGCTATAATGGGAATATGCTTTTCCTAGATTATCTACTTTCATAAATGTATATTACTAGTATTACCCAAACAATTTATCTATAGGTACACTGGGTAATCAAAGTAGAGAATTTTCATCCCAGTCAGAGTAAAAAGTTTTCAAACAATCATATTATTGTTGCATTATTTTTCTTAGTGGCTGGTAACCTAAGATCACTTTACCTGCCTAAAAGACCTACCAGAGAGATTTGAGGAACATTAGACGGTCCACTTAACCAAAAATCAATCACTGACAATATAACACAGTAGATTTGGAATCGGACAAATCTAATTTGAATTCAGACTACAATACATATAAATTCTGCAACTTAGATCAGGTTATATAAGTTCTCTAATCCTCAGTTTTTTCATTTTTAAAATGAAAATGATAATGCTTTTTAATGCAGGGTTGTTATGAGGATTAAATGTGATAATATATTTAAAACCCTTAGCACAGTGTCAGACACATAGTAATTACAGGGATAAAGGTAGCTATCAGGGCCACCACCAGACTGTATAGTTCTCTTGAATTAGAAAAAGCCCTGTGAGTGTTTAGCTTGGAAAGCAGAGCATGAACTGGATTTTAGCCTCCCCTTGCCACCTCAGCCAGGTGCTTCTGTTCAGTGTACAAACCGTACAACTGTACTCAGAAGCCTTGGGAACTACTACCAATTACAGCACCTGAAATTTCCATCACTTAAATAATTCCTAGTGAAGAAGGTTTTTTCCTCTCTCTAGGAAGCCCCTGGTATTCCGATATTCAATGAAAATAAAAGGTGATTAGATGGACAGTTTCAGATACTGCTGGTGGGAGTATAAATCGGTATAATATTTCTGGAGAAATTCATTAAGAGCCTTAAACAGGCTTATATCTGTTGGTCTAGCAATTTCATTTTGAGACTTTACTCTAGAAATAATCAGATATACAGAAAAATATTTGTATAGTGTTATAAATAATAGTGAACTTTGGAAGCTATCCAAATATCTGATTATAGAGAAATAGAATACACTATTGCCACTTAAATTGCCTCTCAAAGAAGTGTCCATAATAGAGAAAAAGCTTAGCAAAATGTTGAATGAACAAAACAGAATCCATAATTGCATATTTATATGATTCCATTAAAAAATACATAGAAAAAGTCCTGGGATAAATGAACAACAAAATACTTACAGTACTTCTCTCGAAAGAGAGCAATTACAGGTGATTTTCAAATTCTTCTTCACACTCCTTAGACTAAGAACTTTTATTATTAAAAGCAGAAAAAATAGTTACTTTTTTAATTTTTGAAAAATTAAATTGCTCAGAATAGAACATACATTAGTTCATTAGCAGTGGTACTTTAATAAGTCAAATAATATACAGCATAATGAAAAAATGATCAGGTGACAATGTGATGGGAAGGAAGATGCCAGGAATTCCTGGAGCTGAGATTATTTTGAGTAGTCTAAATTACGAAAGAGAGGATAATTGAGGCTTTAATTTGGTTGGGCAAATGCACAGTTAAATAAACAGTAAGAAGGATGTCTGCTTCTGGTCAAGGTGGAATAAATAAGATGTGATATACTCTCCCTCTTGAAATAACAAAAAGCCTGACAAAATACATCAAAGATGATTTTAAAGACACTGACCATTAGGCAAGAAAGGATAGTAACCTCTGAGACAGGAAACAAATCAAATGAGCCTTATAATTGCCCAAATTCCTGCTTTGAGAGAGTTTCCAGGCTGTGACGCAGGGAGAAGTACCCCAGTGATCTTCCTAATTTGAGGAATTGGAGCTGGGCATTTAAGGGACCAAAGCATCTCGAGTCTACACGGGAGAGTCCCAGAGAGGAGAAATCTTTACTGAGGGAGAACACCAGGTCTGCACAGGCTTCCCCTAGAGTAGTCAGCTGAGTACTGATCAGTGCATACATGTAAGGAAACTACCGGAGATCAGGGGGAAAACATTCAAAAGACCAGAGACAATTGGTCTAAAAACAATCCTCAGGCATCATACAGGACTGGAAACAGTTCTAGTTCTCACCACTCAGATTAGAAAAACCTCATAATTCACACAATATAAAGTTAAGTACACAGAAGGGTTTTGCCTCAAAAGTAGGGCAAAATTAGCCCAAGAGTAAATGCTATTCTGGTATTGCCTATCAAAACTTGATCCAAAATAATGAAACGCTTTCCATGTAACTTAACCATATCTCAGAACAAAGCTCAAGAATCTTCATAGAAATAGAAAAATATCCATTTTATCCAATGATAAACACAATGATATCACAATGTCTAGTAAACAGTCAAAAATTACCAAGTATGCAGATAAGCAGGGAAATAATGACTCATAATGAGAAGAAAAAATAATCCATAGAAACTGATCCAGAAATGACACAGATGATAGAAGTAGTAGATAAGGACATTAAAACTGTAATTCCACACATTAAAACTGTATTCCATAGGTTCAATAGGTTAGAGGAAAGATTGAATATGTAAGTAGAGACATAAAAGATTTTCTTTTTTGGAGGAAGATCAGCCCTAAGCTAACATCTGCTGCCAATCCTCCTCTTTTTCCCGAGGAATGTTGGCCCTGAGCTAACATCTGTGTCCATCTTCCTCTAGTTTATATGTGGGACACCTGCCACAGCATGGCTTGACAAGTGGTGCATAGGTCTGCACCTGGGATCCAAACCAGGAACCCCGGGCCGCCAAAGTGGAACATGTGAACTTAACCGCTGCGCCACTGGGCTGTCCCCAAGATGTTTTTAAAAAGACACAAAATGAACTTCTAGAAACGAAAACTATAATTTCTGAGATGAAATTAACTGGAGGAAGACATTGCAGAAGTAAAGATTAGTGAATGAAATAATGTGGAAATAGAAACTGTCTAAACGGAAAATACAAAGGTTTGTGGGGAGACAAAAAAAATAACGGAACATCTGTAAGCTTCAGAAGAGTTTCAAGCAGCCTAATAAGTAATTGGGGTCCCCAAAGGAAAGGAAAGATGAAAGTACAGAAAAAAATTGGAAGAAATAATGGCTGAAAATTTTCTAATTTTGATAAATGCTATAAACCCATGATCCAAGAATCTTAACAAACTACAAGCACAAGAAACATGAAGAAAACTATAGCAAAACACTTCATAAACAAACTGCCTAAAATCATTGATAAAGAGAAAGCCTTAAAAGCAGTCAGAGGAAAACAAGACACATTAGGTACAGAGTAACAAAGATTACAGATTTCTCATTGGAAACAACGTGAGCTGGAAGACAGTAGAGTAATATCTTTAAAATACTAAAAGGAATAAACTGTTAGCCTAGAATTCTATGTACTGCAAAAATATCTGTCAAAAATGAAGGCAAAATAAAAACTCTTTCAGATATACAAAAGTGGAACAAATTCATCACCAGCAAGTAGAACTGCATTATAAAAAATGTTAAAAGACGTCCTTCAATCAGAAGGAAAAGGATACCAGACGGAAATCTGTGTGGAAAAGGTAACTATGTAGGTACTTATAAAAATATTGTCTCATTATTTAAATCTCTTTAAAAGATAATTGACTGTTTGGGAGTCAGCCCAGTGGCATAGTGGTTGGGTTCATGCACTCCACTTTGGTGGCCCAGGGTTTGTGAGTTCAGATCCCAGGCACTGACTGCACACCACTCATCAAGCCATGCTATGGCAGCATCCCATACATAAAATAGAGGAAGATTGGCACAGATGTTAGCTCATGGCCAATCTTCCTCACCAAAAAAAGAAGAAGAAGAAGATAATTGATTGTTTTAAATAAAATAATAGTATGTTTGGGGGTTTATAAAATATGTAGAAGTAAAATGTATGGCAACGATACTACAAAGGCTGAGAGGAAACAAATTGGAGTATACTGTTATAAGGGTTGTTATACTGTAGGAGAAGTGATTTAACGTCACTTGAAAATAGACTGCGATGGCTTAAAGATATATACTGTAAACTGTAAAGCAATCACTAAAGTAACCTTCAAGGAGTCAAAGAGATAAAACGGAATAATAAATATGTTCAATTAATTCAGAGGAAGGCAGAAAAAGAGAAAAAAGTGAACAGAGAACAGACGGGAAAGATAGAAAACAAATAGCAAGATGGTAGATTTAAACCCAAACATCTCAATACTCACATTTAATGCTGATGATTTAAACACTCCAACTAAAAGACAGAGATTGTCAGATTTGGTAAAATAAGAAAACTCAATAATATCTGAAAACCACTTCAAATACATAGTTACAAACATTAGATATTGAAGAAAGGAAAAAATACACCACACTAACACTAATAAAAATAACGTTGTAGAGACTATATTAATATCAGATGAAGTAAATTTCAGAGCAAAGAATATTTCCAGGGATAAAAAGAGTCATTTTATAATGATAAAGGGATCAATTTATTAAGAAGACATAATAACCCTAAACATTTCTGTACCTAATAACAGAGCTTTAAAATACATGAAGCAAATATTGATGAACTGTAAGGTAAAATAAACAAACTCACCATTCGAGTCAGAGATTTCAATTCCCCTCTCTCAGTAACTGACAAGTACACAGAAAATCAGTAAAGGTGTGGAACACTTGAGCAACGCTCTCAACCAACTTGACCTAATTGACAATTATAGAACAGCCCACCCAACAGCAGAATACACATTCTTTTCAATGTATCTGGAGCACTGATGAAGCTAGTCCATATATCCTGGATCATAAAACAAAACTCAAAAAATTTATTTTTATGTATTTATTTTTTTGTTCAAAGTACAAATTTAATTCTCTCTCAAAGAGCAGGATGAGGTGGACCCAAGGAATTCTCATACATCATAATACAATGAAGAAACAATACTTGGAGATTCATCTTTAGGTGAAGAAGTTTAAATCAGAGTAGAAATACTGTACATAAACTTACACGTGAAAAGCCTAAAAAGCTGTGAAAACGGAACCTACAACTGAAACAAATATACTTTAAGAATAGCTAAAAAGCATTTGCTTTCTAGAATCTCTACAAATAAAATAACTTTAGGAACAGAGATTTCTGGACTGGACTGTTATGACTAGAAGACCCAAAACTTTCATTAACAACCTTTAGTATAAGTGTTAATTCCCTTGATATATTAAATTTTGTCTTATTTCCCTTTTCTTTCTCAAACCCAGCTATCTGACTAAATAAATCGACAACTCAAAAGTTTAAAGATTTTATTTTTCCTTTTTCTCCCCAAAGCCCCCTGGTACATAGTTGTGCATTTTCAGTTGTGGTCCTTCTAGTTGTGGCATGTGGGACGCTGCCTCAGCATGGCCTGGTGAGCGGTGCCGCGTCTGAGCCCAGGACATGAATTGGCGAAATGCTGGGCCACCAAGCAGAGCGCACGAACTTAACCACTTGGCCACGGGCTGGCCCCTGAAAAGTTTAAATGAACTGAAATCATACAAAGTATGTTCTGAGCATATAATATAATTATTTCAGATATCAGTACCAGAAAGATATCTGGAAAATCCTCTAAAATTTGGAAACCAAGAACACACTTCTAAATAACTAACGGGCCAAGGAAATCAATAGAGAATTAGAAAGCCTTCGCAACTGAAATAATATAAATATAATATTTCAAAATTTATGGAATACACCTTAAGCAGTATTTGGAGGGGAATTTACAGCATTAATCACCTATCTTAGAAAAGAAGAAAGGTTTCAAATCAACGACCTTAGCTTCAATCATAAGAAACTAGGAAAACAAGATCAAATAAAACCAAAAGTAAGCAGAATAAAGGAAATAATAAGACCACAGCAGAAATCAATAAAATAAGAAACAGAAAAATGGTAGAGAACAGCCAATAAAAACAAAAGCTGTTTATGTGAGATCAGTAAAATTGACAAATCTATAGTCAGACTGATAAGGAAAAATGAGAGAAGACGCAATGAAAAAAGATCAGGAATGAGAGAGGTGAATTAACTTTAAATTCTACCAAGTATTAAAAATATAATAAGGAAATATTATGACCGACTTTATGCCACTAAATTCAACACTTTAAATGAAATATTTAAATTCCTTGAAAGAGAGAAACTAACAAAGCATTTCCTTTGGAAATGCCAATTCTGCTCAGTAGGCAAAAGCAGGTTAGTATATAATTGAAAGAGAACAGAAGCAAGCATGGAAAATTACAGGGCATAGTCATAATGATAGTTCCTAACACCCAGAAATTTTTAGCTCTTTTTTGATCAGTTTTTAGCAAAAAGGCATCAGTAGAATCTGAGAATATAATTTTAAATGTGTCAAAGATGTGATGGAAAGCATTTGACTTTTTTAAGACCTAAAAAAAAGGAGTCACAGAGTTTTTTTATACTTTTAATGTAAGAGCTCAAGTAAAAAGTAATTTTAATGCAGTGATTAAGGCAAAGCAAATGATTCCTTGTATTCTCCAGAATTATCTTTTCATGAATTTGGATAAACTATCTATAATATTCATAAATGACATGAAATAAATATCTATAATATACAAGGGGCTTCCACAAATTAACAAGAAAGATAAATGAGGCAGTGGAAAGTGATCAAAGGATACTGATATTGTGACAATTCACAAGAAAAAATTACAAACATTTATACATAAAAAATATTAAAATATCTTCAACTTCACTAGTTATCAGAAACATGCAAAGTAAAACGAGATAGCATTTTTCACCTATTAGATTGGCAACAAGTAAAAGACCTTAATAATAATTACTGACAATGAGGAAATAGAAAGTTTCATAATTTCTTTTGAGAATATAAATTACCATAGCTTGAGAAGAGCAATTTAGCATTATCTATCAAAGTTTAAAACGCATATAATGTGCAGAAAGGATAAAACCCTAATGATTACCTCAATAGATGGCGAAAAAGCATTTGACAAAATCAAATACCTCTTCATGATAAAAACACTCAACAAACTAGAACAGAAGGGAACTTCCTCAACCAGATAAAGGACATCTACAAAAAAACCTACTGCTAATATGAACCTAGTTGGGAAAGACTGTATGCTTTTCCCTAAAATCAGGAATAAACAACATGTCTGCTCTCATCACTTCTATTCAACATTATACTGGAGGTTCTAGCCAGGGCAATTAGGCAAGAAAAAGGAATAGAAAACATCCAGATTAGAAAGGAAGAAGCAAGACTATCTCTACTTGAAGATGATATAATCTTGCATGTAGAAAATCCAAAGGAATCCACTAAAAAACTACAAGAGCTAATAAATAAGTTCAGCAAGTTTGCAAGACATGAGATCAATATACAAAAATCAATTATATATCTATACACTAGTGATGAACAAACCAAAACAAAATTAATAAAAGAATTCCATTTATAACATCATCAAAAAGGATAAAATACTAAGGCATAAATTTAACCAAAAAAAAGTCCAAGACTTGTACACTGAAAATTACAAAACAATATGGAAAGAGATTAAAGAAGATCTAAATAAATGAAGACACATCCCGTGCTCAAGGCTTGCAAGACTTAACATAATTAACATGGCAGTATTCCCCAAACTGATCTACAGATTCAACATAGTCCATATCGAAATCCCAACTGGAGTCTTTGCAGAAACTGACAAGCTGATCTTAAAATTAATGTGGAAATGCAAGTGACCCAGAATAATCAAAACAATCTTGGAAAAAAAGAACAAAGTTGAAGGACTCACCTTTTCCGATTTTGAAACTTACTACAAACTACAGTAATAAAAACGTGGTACCGGAACAAGGGTAGACATATGGACCAACGGAATGTAATTGGGAGTGTAGAAATAAACTCTTGTATTTACAGTTGGTTAATTTTTGACTAGTGTGCCAAGATCATTCAATGGATGAAAGAATAGTCTATTCTTAGACGAATCATTGTTTCCATAGAGATGGACTACTATGATTTGTGGGGTCAGAGTCAAGCACCACTGCTGAGGTCTAGAATTCAGGGTCCTGAGACAAACACCTTCTGACACCCACCAACATAGAGTGGGTGAGGAGGAGTTCCTGTATACATACCCCTCACACACCAAATGCTAGGCAGATGCAAATAACAGATGTCAACTATATCAAACATGATTTTTTTTTCTGGAAGTTTGACCTTGAAAGGGAGTAGAGAGAGAGGTCAGTATAGCTAAAGTCAAATGTGGAGATGAGGAGGTTTGTTAGAATAGAAGGGACTTGAGTATGTTGAAGTGCTTACGCATAGTAGACAATAGGGACTGAGCATTAAAGATACAAAAGAAAGGGAAGTTAATCAATGAATCTGAAGAGATAATTATTTCCAACTCTCCCACAGAAAATATATTCAATAAAAGAATTTCTTCCTGGGTCTTTGGAAGATAACTCAGGCTCTCCCTTAACTTTTCTTTTCATACTGTCATAATACAAAGTTGAATTATCACTTTAAATCACATTGTACCATCTATACAGTCATTGGAACCTCAAATTCCAATGCCCCGGCCGTTATGTTAATCTGTACTTCAATCTTCATTAATAATGAGATTCTCCCCACTCATCCCTTTCCACAGTGAGGGCATAAATGCAGGCAGGCCACCTGCCTTTGCAGAGGGGACATGGCAGGCTTCTTCTTTTTTGTTTGTTCACCTCCTCCCACATTCTCAGCTGCTGTTGCTGACCCCTCTAAGTTGGAGTACTAGGAGGGAAGTAGAAAAGGTCTTCCGCCATGATTGGTACTATTTTAAGATGGCTTTGCCCTCTGGTTTGGCAGATGTTCAAAGCTGAGTCATTCTTAAAGATGGTTTTATGGATTCTCTGGAGACTATCCTGCTAGACCCTTCCAACTGCAATTCTCATGACACGGGCCATTCTTTCTGTACTTACAGCTACTGATCCAACCTTAGCTGCTGCTGGAAACAGCGCACTTCTCAGGTTCTCTGATGGAAACCCATCACCTTTCCAGCCAATCTTCTGGGAAAAATTTCCTTCCATGCGAAATTATACATTTTCCTTATTGTTTAAGGCAATTGAGTCATAGTTTTAGGTTATGTGCAACCAAAGGCAGTTTTATTGATAATAGTAACTTGTGCTAAATTTTATTTTTCTCTTCCTGTATCCTGCTTATCTTATGAGAGGGGAATTGCTGCTTGTTTGTGTGTTCGATTTCTCTTTAGGAAATTTCAGTGGTCCTGATTTGGAAGCTCTAAGCTTAGTGCCTTCAAAGCCTCAGAGAATATTGAGAAAATTAAGGAATTGATTATGATTGTGAATAAAAATTATACTAAAGAATTGTGAAAAGTCTTGTGAGCCTTACCCTAAAACAAAGGGCAAGGTTCCCAGACTTTTCTCCTTAAATTTTCCCAAATGAGTTTTTGAGATCGGCAAGTTTTATTTTCACTGTATTTTGGAAATTAGATGGAATGCCCATATGTTTTAAGGAGTAAATGTAATATATTTGCCTTAAAAACTGACAAGAAACCAAAAGAACTAGAACAAAGAGCACTAATTTTGTACCCAGCTGCATGCTAAACACACCACGAATAAATCTGAACCCAAATATAACTGCTATTTTCAGATGTCTGTTTAATTTCATAAGTACATGAATATATGCTATTATGAAAGATTCAATCTCAAAGTTCCTTTCCTTTTTATAAGTATTTGCATACATACACATATATAACTTTATTTTACATAAATGGATCATCATAAATGTATTGTTCTGTGACTTGCATTTTTAGTTAATAATTTCTTTAAAAAATTTTTCCAAGTCAGTGTATAGAGCTCATTTTAACAACTGTGTAATATTCAATAGTGGAGTGCATATAATTTGTTCAACCATATCTATTAATGGATATTTAGGGACCTTCCAATTTTTAGTGATTACAAACAATACTGCAATGAACCATAAACATTCCTTTAGTTATACTTTTCTGTGGCATTTAAAAAAATCAATTGAAACAGCATATATCTGGAACAACAAAATATCCTCTGAATCACTCCCATATGCTTGCTTAAAGTTCTCGCTTCAATTACATGTAAAGAATTGACTAACAGGGGTCAGCCTGGTGGCACAGCAGTTAAATTTGCACGTTGCATGGCACCACTTGGCAAGCCATGCTGTGGCAGGCGTCCCACATATAAAGTAGAGGAAGGTGGGGCACGGATGTTAGCTCAGAGCCAGTCTTCCTCAGCAAAAAGAGGAAGATTGGTAGCAGATGTTAGCTCAGGGATAATCTTCCTCAAAAAAAAAGAATTGTCTAACAGATTGTAATAATATATCATTTGAACAAATAGATCAGTGCCTGCATGGACATTACCTAAAATAGTATGCTTAATAAAGGTCTCATGTCTCCAAATGGAACTGCAACAAAGTTCATGAGCTGACTAACCTAATAGGGAATGCAAGCTGACTTTAGACATGGTCTATTTGACCAAATTTTTTCCTTCCTTCCTTCATTCTTTCTTCCTTCTCTCCTTCCTACCCTCTCCCTCCCTTACTTCCCTCCCTCACTCCTTCTTCACATTGTGTGTATCAGTAACCATATGTTAAATATGTTAGAACACACCTGTCAAGTCTTGGTACTTCTATTACCCACTGAGGTATATCTGTGATAATTACTATGTATGGACAGCCACTAAGAGGCATTTCGAATTTTCACAACTGTTTAGAAGACTAGAAGATCCATTTTTGAAAAGTGGTCTTCTTTTAAGCAGTTACAGAATTACACTTTGTCAAGCTGTTTGTTTTTCATTACAAGGGAAGACTTGCATTACATTTTTATTGCCTGAAAGAAAACCCTGCCATGCTTTCCGTGTTATCATTTAGTCTATAAATAGATTTTCTCATTCAGCAAAAAGAAAGCAGAAATTTGATAGTTTTTACATAAGGTATCAAATATTCCTGCGGTTCATGGGTCAACAAACCCAACAATGACACCAAATCTCCCTCATGTAGTACAGTCTGCGTTAGCAAGAATTCTCAGTTTAGCAACCTAGGAAGAATATTGTAACAGAATCAAGGTCTGAAGGCATCAGAGAGTATTTTTAGACTTCAGTGGGGTCATGATCTGCTCCTTTTAGGTGTGGATTTCATGTATTAAAATTCAATAACTAGTTTTTCCAACTTCATAAAGCCCTTAAGGCAAAATGCATAATGAAAAGTTCCATGGGGTCCCAAATAGTAACAAAGGCTACATTTTCATTTTAGTTCCAATATTGTCTTCAGCAGTTAACCAACTTGTTTACCATTGTTCCCTAAGTCTTCCTAGGCAGCCCATTGTAAAAGGCTTTTGTGATTTGGCAGTACAAGAGCCCATAAAGGAATGAATACTGAGTTATTTCCAATTAGAACAAAAGCCAGGTTAGATATCAGTTAAGTGCAACAATAGATAACACCTCTTGTATGTGTAAGAAACTTTTGTTAAACAAAACTTCCTTCCAGGTTGATTTTAATTTAACCATTCTAAATAAAGAAAATTTTCAGAGACTTTGTAAATAGATTTCTTAGAAGGCTACAAAACTGGCTTGAGTCTCTCAGTTGAGTCTTTTTAAAAATCTTAATCATACTCTCTCAGCGCTTTCATACTAACATCCAGATCAACCTCTTTGTACTTTGACCAAAGATTGTTTAAAATGCAATGAGTTAGAATCAGATTTGCTTTTGAACCTGAAAAGGCGCTTATAAAATTAGGGAGAACTTTTTAAATGCACTAGAAATTCCAGAAGAGATTTTCATTCTAATTCTGATTTATTCTAAATAATCTTAGGTAAGTGTCGCAAGTGTTTGATACCATTTGTGATTTATAAATCATAAATGCTTTCTCAAATTTTGATGGTATGATGACATAGTGTTCCAATATTATTCAAAATTTTGAAATGGGTATTTAAAATGGTTTTATTATTCACATAGGAAAAATAAGTGACTATTATCCACTCAATTTTGTAGCCTATGCAATTTATTTGATGCCTGCTCAGTGGTGGCATGGGAATGGATCATGAGAAGTGGAAGTTCCATTCATTATTTATTTTCTATGATTGAGGTTTGCCAAATATTCACTGCTAACCCCTTGGCTGCTTCCATTTTCTAGAGAAGGAATATAAGGCATGGAGATGCTGAATAACTTTCCTAAGCCCACATAACATTAAATTGAGTAACAAATCAGAATTAGCTTTCTGGAAATTTCAGGATGTGACTTAACGTACCAAATGATCTTAAAATACCAAGGCAGTGACTGAAGATAGGAATGAATTGTAGCTGATCCCAGAGAGCAGTAATGCAGAAGCTCGTTATATATAACGTTTGTCCTAAGGGGAATCAAAAACCAAAGTATATAAACAGAATAAGAAATATAAATAGCCAATTGACATATAAAAATATATACCCTCACTAAGAACTAAAAAAGGGAGCTCTACATAGAAAAAAATCTGCAAGGATACACACCACTTAATAGCAGTTACTTTTGGGAATCAGGATTGCAGAAGGAAAGACTTTCATTTTTATTTATTTATTTTTTAAAGATTGGCACCTGAGCTAACAACTGTTGCCAATCTTCTTTTTTTTTTGTGCTTTATCTCCCCAAATCCCCCCCAGTACATAGTTGTATATCTTAGTTGCAGGTTCTTCTAGTTGTGGGACGCCGCCTCAACGTGGCCTGACGAGCAGTGCCACGTCCGGCCCAGGATCTGAACCAGCGAAATCCTGGGCCGCAGCAGAAGAGCGTGCAAACTTAACCACTCGGCCACAGGGCCGGCCCCAGACTTCCATTTTTAAGTTTAAGCATTTTTGTGTTATTTA